CCCAGCTACTGTCTGGGCGCCTGTGGGCAGTAAGGGTCAGAGGAGGCCAGCATTCTAGTTTTGGGGACTTATCCACTTATCCTCTCTTCCTGCCCTCATCCTACTTCTGCCATGGGCCTTCACCTGGCCCAAAGCCACTGTCCAGAGAGAGTGTTGATCTGTTTGTCCAGCTTTGGCAGAGAAATGGAATGATTTGGCAAATCTGGAGTCAGCCTGGTTAGAGGAGGGGAGGAAGACAAGTTCAGAACTTGTTTGATGTGCTGACCCTTTTTTAGCTCTGTAGAGGTTTGCACAAGAAGAGGTTACTGGAGTCCCTGGTTCATGTGCGCAACAGGGAACCAGCCCATATACAAACATGGACACAATTAGCCGTTCACTGGTGCTTAACTTGCTCCTCCTCACCTTACTGTTTGTTCACACAGCCGAACTCCCAACTGCCAGTACCGGAGACCAGGGCTTTGTTTGCCCCAGAAACCCTGATCCTGATGGACAGGCTGAAAACATCAGGCCTCAGCCCTGGATGCTGAGAATGAGTGGATCAAGCCCTCAATTCCCTCATCCTCCCGTAGGATGATTCCCAGGCATGTTCTTGATTGTGGCTCCAGTTTAAATGTGTGCCAGTCACCTGACACATACTTCGCTGGCGGCTTTCCCTTCTCTGTCATACTTTCCTACTCCCTACTGGTGTCTCCTAGAGTTACTTCCCAAGTACTTGAATTACTCTTAAGACCTTTACAAGGTTAGCTAGTGGAGGAACCCAAACTGCAATACACAGGCACAGAAGTGCAGTCTCACACACACATTCATCCACAGGCAACAGACTCATACAACCACACAAAAACATTCATAGATACAGCCAGGTGCACACTGACAGCCTGGTCCAGATACACACACACACACGTGTGCTCACAGACATACAATTGCTCTCTCAGCCATGGTGCAGACACACGTACACAAAGTTGTGACCACAGACCTTCTTCTAGTACATGTACTCTAGGGAGGAGACCAGAAGAATTGACAAATCCCTTCCTCCAGCAGCACAGGGGTCCTTGGATAAAAGAAGAGGGAAAGAGGATCTGACTTCCTGGGGGTGGGGCCAGCCTGAGCAGCCTGAACCCCAGAGGGTCCAGAGGAGAGGCAGCCATTCCTTCTAAATGTTGGGGGTGGAAGATTTGAAGGGAGATTTGGGGACAGGATTCCCCTGAGGGGTTGAACATGGGGGCCTTCCACGCAAGGGGAACAGTGTAAACTAGGCACAATGGGGGGGGACAATCTGGCCCATGACGTGGGTCAAGGTGAGGCTGGAGAGGAAGCAGGGGCAGAGCAGGTGGGCTGTGGAAGCCTCACCTTATAGTGAAGATATGGGAAGCCACTGATAGAGTCTGAGGGAAGGAGCACAAGTAAACCCTAGGGAGGCTAACAAGTGTAACTACCCCACATTTGCACCAAACCCTTTTCTCCCTCCTCCAGACCAGAAGACAGGCCCCATCCCTTCTGGAACTCAGTCTCTTCCCTGCCTGAGAGAGTGTCTTTTGGCTCCCTCAGTCGTAAGAGGAGGCATTGCTTGCCAGGAGGCTTGCTTAGTTGTGTCTAGTAGGGTGGTCACCTTCCAAAGGCTACCAAAGGCTACCCTGAGATGACACTTGAACAAAGTCCTGACAGGAGGGATGGGTTTGGCCTAGTGGAAATAGTTGGTGTAAGAATTCTGGGATTAGACTGTGCCTGGTACATTCTTGTTCAAGAAACAGTGAGAAGGCCAATAAGGCTGGAACAGATTGAACCAGGGAGAGTGGTGGAAGCAAAATCAGAGGGGGTCAGTCAAGAATGTTAGAACAGACTGAGGTCATATTCAGTGGCAGCTCAACATCAAACTGACATTCATTTACAAAGGTGTTCATTAACACTTCCCCTATTGTGGCAGATACATTATTATGATTATGTCACAGCTGAGGACACAGAAGCTTGGAGAGGTGATATGACTCCAACTGGGTCAGCCAGCTCAGAGGTGGAAGGGCCTGGACTCAACCCTATATATCTAGCCAACCGTGGGATAAGCCCTCAGCCGCCTCATCAGAGTTCAGGCACATGGCAGACTGATAAGCATTGGTGAGGCTTACCAAGAACAGGCTGGGCGGGGTTAGGGTGCATGCGTGCGTGTGTATGTGATCCCTGTCTTTCATTTCTCTGCCTCATGTTGGGGTAATGACAGGGCAAAGGGGCCCAGCCTGTAGGGTTTGTACCAGCACTGAGGCATTCCCACTATTGCGGAACTTGAAAAGGAGCTTTCTTCTAGTCCTCTCCACATGGAGTTTCCTCCAGCACTGAGTCTCTCTCTATCCTCCGACATGAAGGCTTTAGTCGAAGCGGAGTCCAATCAGATGGAGGTGGCAGGGAGTAGGGGCTGAAGGGAGGCACAATTTTGTGCCCACAGTGGATCCTGGGTTGTCTATATTGGCAGAGACTAAGTCATTTTTTGGCAAGAAAATGAGCAAGAGAGGGTGGGGCATTCCTAGTTCTTCTTCCCTGTCAGCAAGGGATTGAAAACAGTGGGACCTGAAAAGAGCAGGATGAGTAAAATTTTCCAGTGCCTCTTACTTTAAACAAGGCTGATACTGGAAAATAATTGTAGAGGAGTTCAGTTTTGCAGATTACAAGCTCATGTTAGCAAACAAGCTAATGTTGACACAGACAAGCAAACAAACAGAAAAAGTGATACCACTGAATGATACTTAAAGGAATCTTTAAGTTTAATGGGTAAATTTTTTCTGTATTTTTTCATTTTAAATGTTTGACTGGTAGGCAGAAGACTAGCTGCATGAGATGAGAATGTTGCTGGGATGGCTTGGAGATCACCCTCAGAACAGTGTTGAACAATTTACGGCCATCTGGAATCTGTATTTGTTTTAAGGAGAATTTCATTGTGTCTAGGTTAAGTGAGCTTGCACATTTCTAACATAAAATAACCAGCTCTACACCAAATCACACTAATGATGGAATTAAATATATATTTTTTGGTGTCTGATGTTAGAATTTACAGTTTCAAAATGGGGTCCATGCCTCTACATGCTAGTTTCCCCTGTGTTTCTGAGTTTCACAAACCAGGCTCTGGCGTGCGGTACATGGACCTCCCTCTCAGTTTGAGAAACCTCAGGCTTTGGAGTCTAACCAAACATGTCTGCCCAAAAGACGTGATGGAAGGTTCCTGAATCTTGCAAAACATTTGACCCAGGTCAATTCCAGGTTGGGAAAATACCCAGAATGAGGCGGGGCGGAGTGGGAGAAAGGTCTAGGAAACTACCTTGGCCTTCTGACAGCAGAAAGTGAGCAGGAACGGCCTCTGGTGGCCAGACCATTGTATTGTCTCCTTTTATTTTACTTATTTAAAATATTTAAAAGATTTATTTATTTATGTATACAAAGCTGGGGTACAGGTCAGAGGTGTGGAGTGTGAGAGGATTCACCAGAGACAGAGTGGGGAGCAGAACAGGAAGATGGGCTTAAGTACACTGCTGAGGGGAGCAGTTGGCAGGTCAGGAGAGGCTGCCATGCCATGTGGGTCACCAGAACCCAACCGGCTGCTGCTACCTTGCAGAGCTGAGCTTTAACCCACTGGGCCACCAGGGAGGGCCCTGTAGTGTCTCCTTTTAAATACACAATTATAACAGCTTCTCTCCTTCCTGAGTGGGCCAGGTTGCGTCACCACTCCCTCATATTACAAAGGGGGGGGGGCAGGGTTCACAGAACAGGGGTCTTTTTTTTTTTTAAAGATTTATTTATTCATACAGAACTGGGGTACAGGCCAGAGATGTGGAGGGTGAGAGGATTCACCAGACACAGAGAGGGGAGCAGAACAGGCAAATCGACAAAGTACACTGCTGAGGGGAGCAGCGGGCGGATCAGGAGAGGTCTGCCACGCCAAGTGGATCTCCTCCGGGCCAAGCGGGAATCGAACTCATGCTGAAGTGGCTTAAGCTTCTTAGTGCAGTGCTTTAACCTGCTTGCTGCCCCACCAGGGAGGGCCCTCTTTTAAAAAAAAAAAAAGATATATTATATTTTACTTATTTATGCGTGCATACACAAGGAGTAGGCAAGTGTGTGTGATGGGGGAGGGGGGGTGTCAGGAGGGGACGCTGGTGGTTGGAGGATTCACCGGAGACAGAGTGGGGAGCAGAACAGACGGATCCACTGAAACACACTGCTGAGGCCAGCAGCCGGCAGGATCCTCTGCGCCACGCCTCCACACCAGTTGGTCAGCTCCCCTGGGGATCTGGGGATCGAACTCGTACTGTAGTGGCTGCCGATAGCTTCCTCGTGCTAAGACTTAACCCTTGCGCCACCGGGGAGGCACAGAACAGGGGTATTTTCAACCAAATCACAGCGAATTAGGGGGAGAAATGAGACTGGAACCTAGGCTTCTCCACTCCCTGGAACTGATTCTGAGAGACGCGTTATTTTAAGTATACACCTCTTCTACGTGCGTTCGGAGCGAACCATTTAAAGAATTTCCAGGGGCGAATAATCAGTTCTTAAAACGGTGTCCTCCGAAATCCGGGCCCCGCGCTTCTTCACTTGTCCTCCACTTCCGGAGTTCTATAGGCCTTCACTTGCGGGGAATTTCGACCCGACTTTAGGGCATTCTGGGAAATGTAGTTACAGCTTTCTTCAGACGCAAGGACACCCGCGTCTTGGAACTTCATTTCCCAGAAGTCTGTGCTTGCCGTCTAGTCAGCCAGTTTTGGGCCACTGGGGCCTTTCATCCTGAGTTTTTCAATTTTCAATGGGAATGAGTGATGGTGGGCAGCAGTCTGCGGAGGCGCAGTCCACAGGCAGCCTGGCCTGGCGGAACAGGTCGCGGACACTGTGGGGCTGATCAGCGAGCTCTGCTTCCGGTCGGGGGGCAAAAAGCCCAGGCTCCGCCTTTCCTTTAATCGTGATGGGCGGGGCGCGGCGTCGCGACCCGCGTTGCTATTGGCGGCGGTTGGGGGCGCGGAAACCGAACTGTCCGGGACGCCAGCGGCGGACTTCACCAGCAACTCCTGCGTCTTGGGTGCTGTCGGCCCCGCCATGGCCGCCCCTTGCCCGGTAAGTTCTCGCCGGCGGCGACCGCCCTTGTTTTAATCTCCCGCGGGCTCCTGGCCCGGCCGAAGTCTGCGAGGGTGTCGGTGAGGCGGGTTCCGAGCCTGTCCACTTTACTGTCTGTGCGAGGATCCCGGGTCGGGCACCGGGCGAGCGCCTTCCGCGTGCCAGGCCGTGTGCAGGCCACAGGGGCGAACGACACAACCCCTCTCCCCAGTTTTTGCGTCACGACGCGGGAGACACCGGTGCGGCAGAACTGAAGCTGGGACCTGGGCCAGCGGCGGGCCTCTCTGGCCTCTCTTCCCACCCTGAGCAATGGTGACTGGATAAGGGCATGTTGCGAGCACGCCCTGTCCCAGTGGGGGCGAATATCGACCCCTGGAGTAGGTGGGAAAACCCGAGACCTGCGTTGTGACCTCGGCCGACAGCCTCTTTGCAGCACCCTGGTCCCTTCGGAGGCTAAAGCCAGCCGAGCAGTTGAAAGCACCTCTTTTTTTTTTTTTGTTAGTGGTTTTTAAAAAAAAATAATATCATAGTTTATTTTTTACATCATATTGTGCATTTTTCCATCTCAGTTGTAATCCCCATGGAATTCACATCACTAAATCACCCGTGTGCCATCACCATAGTCCAGTGCATTTCCCTCCCCATTTTTGATCCCATTTCCCACTCCACCCCTGTAAAATGTCTCTGGTATATGGCTGTTCATCATCATTATTATTTTTTTGCCTGGTCCGTTATCCTGCTATGAGTGAAACCATCCGGTATTTTTCCTTTTCTTTCTGGCTTATTTCACTAAGCATGATCTTCTCCAGCTCCATCCATGATGCTGCAGAAGGCTTGTGTTTACTTTTTTTGATTGCTGAGTAATATTACATTGTGTATATGTACCACACTTTTTAATCCAGTCATCCATTTTTGGGCATTTGGGTCGTTTGCATGTCTTTCTAATTGTAAATAAAGCAGCAATAAACATGGGGAGCCCCCCTTTTTTGAGGGGTGATTTGGAACCTGTCTGGACTTCTGGCTAGGTTGAGAATCAGGCAGGATGGGTGGCGGCCTGTTGGTCCTTTGGGCTTCCAGGCTCTGGAGCAGGGGGGCAGCCGGTCTTTGGCTTTTTAACTTCTAATCTGGTGCTCTCCCCACTCTACTTTCCCACTTAAAACCGCCTTTGACTGAAATAACCACAAAGCTCATGGGATCTGGGAAAGAGGGTGTTAAATTTCAGGGGCCCTCTGGTCAGGTACCTCTGCCCACTGACCCTAGAGGTGGGCACTGTTTTATCCTTCCGGTACCTAGAGGCCCAGGTGGGGCAGTTGCTGAGTCGTTGGGGGCCTTACCGCAGCTGCTACCCCCTTTCTCACTGAAAGTAAGACTTTGGCAGGTGTGTTTGGGGGTGGAGCTGGGCACAGGGCCATGGGGGCCTTTGTTCTGGTTAGAACTCTGAGGGATGGCAGTGGCCTTCCTCTATCCAAGGCATGGGCTTTCACCGAGAGGAGGCTTTGCTGTGCTCTCTGGTGCACCCAGTGTCTTTGAGATTGCTAACATTTGGGGTAGGGGAGATGTTGCATGACTGTGGTATAACTAACTCTCAGGTGCTGAGACACAGGCTGCTATTGGATGAAGAATCTCTGGAGTATTATCTCCATGTCTTCCTAAGCAGTTCCCCAGCTACTGCTTCTCTGAATTTGGGTGGAGTGAAGGTGGTGGTGATGCCACCAGGAACCCGTCAAGGGCTGACCCTTTGTGCTTACTTTCCAGTCTGCAGTGGGATTAAGGGTATGAGTTCTGATTCGTGAGATGGGGTTTCTGAAAGGCCCTCCATGTCTCTTCTTGGGTCTTTAAAAGTAAAAAACTGATTGAGACATTATTCATATACCACACATGTACCACATTTTTTTTAACTGTTTTGTTTTTTTTTTAAAAGATTTATTTATCTATGCATATAGAGCTGGAGTATAGGCCAGAGGTGCAGGGGCGGTCTGAGGATTCACCAGAGACATTGGGGAGCAGAACAGGCTGACTGATGAAGTACACTGCTGAGGGGAGCAGCGGGTGGGTCAGGAGAGGTCTGTGGCGCCATGTGGTCACCTCCAGGGCAGGCGGGGATCAAACTTGTGGAAGTGGCTTTAGCTTCTCAGTGCTATGCTTTAACTCGCTGCGCCACCAGGGAGGGCCCACATGTACCACTTTTAAAGTGTAAAATCCAATGTAGTGCAGTCATCATCACTGTTTAATTCTAGAACATTTTGCCATCCCAAAGAATATTTCCCATTAAGCAGTTACTTGCCTTCCTCTCCTTTTGCTCCTTCCTCCCAGTCCTGGCAACCTCTAATCTATTTTCTGTCTCTCTGGAGTGGCCTATTCTGGACTTCTGTGTCAGTGGAATCACAAAATATGTGACCTTTTGTGTCTGACTTTTTTTAGTTGGTGTGATTTTCAAGGTTCATCCTCATTGTAGCAGGAATTAATACTGCATTTCTTTTTTTTTGTGAATGATATTCTATTGTATGGCTATACCACAATTTGTTTCTCCATTAATACATTGATGGATATTTAGGTTTTTCTTCTTTTTGGCAATTACGAATAATACTATGAGCTTTGAAGTACTGTTTTTGTGTGAACGTGTTTTCAATTCTTTGGGATGTTTACTTTGAATTGCTGGGTTCTTGATAACCTTATGTTTAACTTTTTGAGGAACTGCCAAACTATTTTCTACTTTTTTTTTTTTAAGATTTAACAATACATTTGTTTATTTCTATTGTATCACATTTTCATATGAATTTAAGGGGTTTTTGAAAGGATTATATTGAATCTGTGCATCTATTTGAGGAGTTACTGCAGCTTAAAAATACCAAGTTTTCCAGACTGAACTCAAGATGTCTTTCCACTTATCTCAGTCTTTCTAAAACTCTATCAATATTTTACACCTTTCACTGTCTATCTCACACTTTTGTTATCATTCATAAAAATCCTTTTTATGTATCATAAAGGGAATTATCTAACTTTTTTCAGATTGTCATTGCTGCTGTACAGAAGTAGAGTCAATTTTTGTAAATGAACTTTATATCCTATAACTTATTGGATCTGTTTACTACTTCTAATAGTTTATTAGTGAATTCCTTAGGATTTTCTATGTACAAGATCATGTCTTGAGCATTTGAAACTCTCCTGACTGTTATAGGAAGAGTGTAGGCCCCAGGGGAGCCCCTTCCTCATCCAGTCTTCACACATTTGACCCTGGCTCTCCCCCAGGACGACCCCTCGCTGGAGAGGCATTTTAAAGGCCACCGAGATGCAGTTACCTGTGTGGACTTCAGTCTCAACAGCAAACAGCTGGGTAAGAAGAAGCATCCGTACCAGGCACTAGGTTATGGACTGAGAGGCTTAGGTTCTATGTGGGAGCTGTGGTCAGAGCCGGAGGGGGCAGAGCTTCATCTTTCTTCAGCTCTTTGTGAAGAGCACAGTGAGTCTCAGAGAGGTTGGGGGGTCTTTCCCAAGGTCACGTAAGCTTTTGAGGATTGGACCTAGCTCTGGGCTTCCCTCTGTCTACCCCAGCTACCTCTTGGGTCTGGCTTGAGAAATGGGCTCTAAACAGTGGTTCTTTTTCTTTGGGTCTTTATTGCTTCCACTGTCATCGTGATATGGGTGCACCTTGTTGAGGGTGCCTGTACGTGAGGAGGACTAGAGCGGAGCAGGGTTCTCCTCTCCCCGCACTGCCCTACTGCTGTAGCTGGACCCTGCTCCTCGGTTGCTTGGGGGGGTTCATACACAGATGCCATGGCTACAGCCTCCTTGTTTCTAAGGATGAGATTCCCTCGTCATACCATGGGCAGTTTCTTGCCAGGTGCCACTGACTTCATGGTCTGTGTAGAGAAAGAGGAAACTGAGGGACAATTTTGGTTGATTGTCAGGACCTCTTTTAGCTTCTGACAGATCAAGCCCTCTCCATGGTAAAAGGCCATTGTGCTAACTTGAGGGAGGGTTTATTTTTTCTGTTTCCTCAGAATTCTGTCTGTGGAAAGACTCCATGGGAGTTGAGTTTTCCTAAAGGCCCTTTGGTTGCAGTTGCAGTTCAGGGCTGGCATGTGAAGGCATTCCGTGGTCTGCTTCCCATGTGGACCTGCTGTTTGGAGAGACTATAGGCCATAGGCTTGCTTTCCAAACTCTTGAGTCAGCAGTTATTGTAGGTGTGGCCTGCCCCTGTGGGAAAGATGGAGCTGGGCTATGAGGCCTGTTTCTATGTTGCTTCCTTACTCCAACACCCCAATGTCCTGGTAGAGGCTTGAGGCCCCCTAGAGCGAAGGGTCATGGTATCCCTACTCTCCTCAGCTAGCGGCTCCATGGACTCGTGCCTTATGGTGTGGCACATGAAGCCCCAGTCACGTGCCTATCGCTTTGCGGGCCACAAGGATGCTGTCACCTGTGTGAATTTCTCTCCTTCGGGACATCTGCTTGCCTCGGGCTCTCGTGACAAAACTGTCCGCATCTGGGTACCCAATGTGTGAGTTACAGACTTCAAGGGGTCTTGTCTGAGCCGGGGGCCCTGCTGCCAGAGCTGTTCCCACGCAACTCCCCATACTGGCTCAGGACTGGTCACAGTGGGACACCCGCCTCATTTCCAAGGAGGTGCCATCTGAGCTGGGACTTCAACCAGGGCCCTTTCCTCAGGCCTGGGAGAAGAGCCCCTAGCCCTTCTGGGAGGGGCTTCTGCCTCATGCTGCTCACGCATGGGTGGGTTTGGGCAGGGCTTGCTCTTGTGAGGGAGACTCTGATCTCTCTTGTTGGAGGCTGGGGTATTCAGGCCTGATTGAGCTTGGGAGGGGTGCCTGAGGAGTGGGGCATGCTTCATTGCACCGTCGTGTCACTATTTTGGGTTTTCTGACTCTGGGTGCCTATCCCCACAGCAAAGGTGAATCAACTGTGTTTCGTGCACACACTGCCACAGTGAGGAGTGTCCACTTCTGCAGTGATGGCCAGTCCCTTGTGACAGCTTCTGACGACAAGACAGTCAAGGTGTGGTCAACTCATCGCCAGAAGTTCTTGTTCTCCCTCAGTCAGCACATCAACTGGGTGCGCTGTGCCAGGTGAGATTGTGCGGTCCGGAGACCTTTGCTGATACCTGAGCATTGCTGGGTACAGAGGAGCTGGGATTTGAACCCAGTTTTCTGGCCCTAAGGCTTGTCTACTTTCTTCTGGGGTGTTCTGCTCCTCAGAGGTTGCACTGCTTTAGAGCTGTGAGATGGGGGCCCCAGTCTGGTTGTTGACCATCCCTTTGCTCTGGACTAATTGCTATGGGGGTGGGAGTCAGGTGACCCAAAGGATTTTCAGGTTTCAAAAATTATAGACCCAAATGTGCCTTTTTCTAGCTTATTTTGTTACGTTTAACAGAGATCTCATATCAAATCTCTGTGATCTTGAGGAACAGTTTGGGGGTATACTGTGTCTGGATATAGTGGGAAACTATGGTAGTTAGGGTTGAGGGTGTTGCGCTGTCCTTCTGGGGACCCCAGACAAGTTACTTATTCTCTAGGACAGCCTATCCCTGTTTTGGGTGGTCCTAATTGCTTTGAGAGACCTCCCTCCCAGGCTCCTGAGAACAGGAGGGGCCAGGTCCCCAAACGAATTTGGTGGTGGGTCCCCAGGTCCTCCATGCCTTTTCATTGGCAGATTGTGTTTTGCTGACACAATCTGAGTCAGATGTAGTCTTGGGGATCTGGGGGTAGGATGAAGATGCCTCAGGTGGCCTCAACCCTCCTTAAAGCTACAAGCACCAGCCGTCGCATGGACATTACTGCAGTGTTGAGCCCTCGTGTGTCACGCTGCTCCTTGCTCACCCTGTGGTAGGGACCGTTCTTATCCATCTCACCAATGCCCGAGGTCACTGCAGGTCTGAGCAGGGCATGCAGCCCCCGTGGTCCCTAGGGTCAGCTAGTGGGCAAGGATAGAAGGGGGCTTTGGAAAACCATGTGTGGTGCCGTAACACCTACTATTTAGGGTTGTGAGTCATGCTTTGCCTGCTTCAGGTTTTCCCCTGATGGGCGGCTCATCGTCTCTGCCAGTGATGACAAGACTGTCAAACTCTGGGACAAGACCAGCCGGGAATGTATCTACTCATATGGCGAGCACGGCGGGTGAGTCCCAGACCCTGCACTCCACCGGCGAGTGCTCAGGAAAGCATCACCAAGGAGCCCTCGGGACTGCAGGCACGGGGCAGGCAGCGCCTCTCTGCTGCTCCCTGTCTCTGCTTCTTATTTGTGGGTGTTATCCCAACTTCAAGGCTTGGGATTCATGGGCCCTCTTTTTTGCCCTCACTTTCTAGTTCTCAGAAGTGTGACGTCATTCTGAAAGCAGTTTAACCCAGACCCTCCCTAAAAGAGTGTTAGTATGTTACCTGTGGTGCTGGCTTTATCAATGAGAGACACTTGTGGCTCACAGTGGCTGTTGATGTGCCACCTTGAGGAAAGCCAGAGCCTGTTCTTAGTTTCTAAGAGAACCTTAGTCCTTGCACACTTCAGATGTCTGGGAAGGGCCTGGGTTTCAGGTACAGATGCCCTGAGAGCCCTGGTCTGTCTTCTGGAGCGAAGTGAGCCCGTGGAACCCTATGTCTGGGCCCCTCTGACAGGATCAGCTCTACCTCCAGCTTAGGTGAGAGTTCTAGCTCCAACTCTGAAAATGCCCAGCAGCTGTCTGACCTTGTGTTTAGAAGTTGATGCTGCAACTTGCTCCTTAATCATCCACCTCAGTCACCTCTAGCCACCATCCTCACCCTCTTCTCACTCCCCCTTGGCGATCTGGTAAAGAAATTGGCCAGAAGGGATGCATTCCAGGCTGAAGGGAAGAGAGTGAGCAGACGTGCCAAGATGGAAAAGTGCTGAATATTCTTGGGTCTGGTCTGAGCCAGGCCAGTGCTCCTGTAGCATGTGGCGGCCACTGTCTTTCCAGCTTTGTCACCTATGTGGACTTCCACCCCAGTGGCACGTGCATTGCCGCCGCTGGCATGGACAACACAGTGAAGGTGTGGGACGTGCGGACTCACCGGCTCTTGCAGCATTATCAGTGTAAGTGTCCATGAGCGGTCACAACGGGGCCACGGTGGGGTGCCACGGGCCAGGTGTTTGATGTATTGCTGTGGTGCCCAAATGTGTACTGGCCTTGGCTGGTGGGGAGTAGCTTGGGATCTATTGGGACGTCCAGAGGTGGGTTGTAGTGTGGCTTTCCTGGCTTAAAAACTGGGCTGTGTGGTAGCCACCCAGCCCTTTGATGGACCCTGCAGGTCTTGACGGGGCATACCCTTCATGGGTCACTGGCCATGTCTCCTTCCTAGGGCTGCTTCTCAGAGGCTGCCCACGCCACTTGCCTCCCCCTATAATGGAGTTATACCTTCCAGGGCCAAGGTGACAACCGTCACCTGTGATAAAGGGGGTAATTGTGAAAAGGGGGCAGTTTGGGTGGGACTTTTGCCACCTCTGGCCACAGGAGGTCTTCCACAGGTGCGGAGCCATGGGTCATGGAGGGTCAACTGAGCTAGTGGCCAGGCTCAGGAGTCAGTGTCTGGGCTGTGTCCCCTTATTCAGTTGTAGCCCTTGAAGGCAGGGTGGTGGGTGGTCGACAGGCTGGTCAGGCGCCAGGTGTGAGGTAGGGACACATGCAGGTGTGATTAGGATGAGTAGCTGAAGGTGTTGGTATGGAACTGGGCTGGGAGTAAGCGTGACTGTGCAGGGTTATGAGTCACCCACGATGTGGGAGTGTGGCCCAGGGGATGGAGCTGGTGAGGGACTCCAAGAAGAATGGGGAATTGTGCCGGAGCCAAACCTGGTGGACTTTGAGCTGAGAGACCATGGAGGGGCAGAGTTGGACTTGTTTGAAGAAGGGTAGCCACTACTTGGGACTAAGTTTAAAGTTTGTGGACTCCCTCCCACAATTCATGCCTGAAAATGGGGCGCGTTTGGACAAAGGTGTGGAGCTTGGGATTCAGTGAGTTCATCATAGCTGATTCTTGGGACATTTGAAGATGTAACTGTGATGAGCAGACCTTCCAAGAGCAGGCACCTTCCAAGAAAGAGCCTGGTCTTAAAAAGCACATGATGGTGGGCCCTCACTGGTGGCGCAGCAGTTCGATCCCCACCTGCCTCAGAGGTGACCCACATGGCGCGGCAGACCTCTCCTGACCCGCCCGCTGCTCCCCTCAGCAGTGTACTGCATCATTCGGCCTGTTCTGCTCCACACTCTGTCTCTGGTGAATCCTCTCACCCTCCGCATCTCTGGCCTGTACCCCAGTTCTGTATGAATAAAATAAACTTAAAAAAAAAAAAAGCACATGGTGAAGGGTGGGCTCTGTAGACAGCTTCAGCATTCTTACTGGTGTGACATTGGGTTGGGGACTTGATCCTCTGGACGTTGGGACATATCTTGCAGGTGATGTAGGGAGGATAATGAGTTGGCCCATGTCAAGAATTTAGAGAGTGCTTAGTATAAAATGGGGACCATTTACAGAGCTAGTGGCAATGATGATGGTACTGATCTTATAGCTAGGTCAGCCCTGTTAGGAAATCTGCAGTACCTGACACTACCACTAGGTGGCAGGAGCCGGCCACGAGAACCAATTCTTCCCTCAGCCCTGTGTTTTTTCACTGTCTGTCTTACACAGGAGCTTTTAGAACAGAGCAGCAGTGGGATGGGTTCTGCACTCTGCTGTGCTTGGAGATCACACATCTTTCTTCCCTCTTTCAGCCTTGCAGAACTTTTTTCTCCTGTTTTGGGCAAAGTTTGAATTGGAGATTGAGCTCATTTATAAGGCTAACTGGGGGCAGGTGTGCAGGTGTGAAGGCGTGCTGGGTGGGAAGGCAGCATGTGGGTGTGATCAGGAGGGAGGCCTTAACCAGAGAGGATGAGGCAGTGTGGTGTTTGGGAGCACGGGCTCTCCTCTGTAAAAGGGGATGGCACTAGTGCCTTCCTTGTGGGGTTAATGAGGGTATGATGGGAGAATCCACATGTGGATTATAATTCTGTGCTGGAGAGGTGACTGAACCACAGTCTTGGCACTGGGAAGAGAGGGTCTCTCGTTTACTTTGAGAGGGTGCAGGCCACCTCTGATGGACTGGGATCCTGAGCCTGGTGTTTGTGGGGCATAGCAGCAGGTTTCCATTTGGGGGGCCTTGGATGCCATGCTCTGGCTCACGGTCCCAAAAGGCAGCTCGAATTGCAGTGCTGGGCTGGCCTCACTCTTGGAGCAAAGAGGTGAGATGTATCCGAGAGGACAGCAGTGCTGAGAGCCTGCTTGGGGGGAACTGGTTTGCCAGGGTGATGGGTGGGTGGACTGTTCATATCCAATGTCTGAGTGAGGGCTGGCATTAGTGCGTGTGTGTGTGTGTGTGTGTGTTGTGACGGCCTGGGGAATGGATTTTAGAAGCAAAGCTAAGGCAGAAGCAGAGGCTAGGCTTAAGAATCTGGGGTAAAAGAAGGGTTGAGGCCATGTCCTGGTCCCCGCGAATGAGGGGCCATGGGAGGAAATGGTGTAGCCTGCGTGAGCGGTGCGAGCCTGTTCTCAAGCTTGGGAGGGCCAAGGAGGGCAGAGCCAGGGAGTGAATGGAGGGTGGGGTCCCACGAGGAAGGTGAGGGGGTCAGGAGGTGGCGTGACCAAAGCAGTCAGGGAGGGTGAAGGGTGCAGTTCCCTGGGGCTCTTGAGGGCACAGGCTTGGTGGTGTGGGGTGGGAGGTCACTGATTGGTCAGGGAGGTTATAGTCGTACTCATTTGGCACCCGGGCCTGAATTCTGAGTGGGCCCAACGTACACAGTGCTAGCGGCTCCACGGAGAGATTTCAGTCTGTTTCTGCTGCTGTCCATTTTTTGTGTGACCGCCACTCAGGGAGCCTGCAGCGGGTTGTTCCAAGCCACCCCTGAGATCAATCAGAGGCTTTAGGTACCCCTTAAACAACCAGGTTCTCCCTGAGCTCCCTGCATGGAATGGTGGGTACTCAGAGCAGCAAACATCCCATCACCTCTGGGCTCACCCAGTCTCTTTGGGGGCTCAAAGAGGAGCCTAGTAGATCTGAGCACATTAGTAGGGGGCTACTTTCTTCACCCACTTTGATGCTGAGGGATCTTCCAGGTCTGCATGGGTCCAGAGGCTCCCCTAGAGAGCTCTGGACTGTAACCCACTGGCAGGCCATAGGCCCTCCCACTCCCAAGCTCCCAAGTAGCTGCTCCTACAGCCCCAGAGAGTTGCTGTTTGGAGACTGATTACACAAGAGGCCCCACCCTCTCCAGTAGATGCCGGGCTGTTTTCTGTCCCTGGACCCTAGGAAACCCAGGGGAAAGTTCCCAAGGACCTATTGACATCAATGTCTCCCCTAGTCAGTCTGCAAGAGTGCCAGGTACTCTTGTGTGACCCTGCTGGGTCTTCTGAGAGAGCTGGGAGTGGGATACTGCAGTGTGTGGTGCGCCGCCTGGGCTGAGCTCTGGGGAACACATTTCGTGCTCTGGGTTGGCGCTTTGGGCTGCCGCAGGCAGCTGGCTGGCTGTTCTGCTTGGCTTCGCCACGGGGAGCAGTTCTCATTGCCCAACTCAACAAGGAGTCGGCGGGGCTGCTGGAGGCCCTGGAGCGCCGTCCCCACGGAGGTGGCTTCAGCTCCATATGCTCCGAGCCCACGTTAAGGCTGTTCACACATCTGAGCCCCAGCCCCCGTCCCGGAACCCAGGATGTGCTTTGTACTTCAAGGCACCCGCAGGTCCAGGGGCGGGGGTGGGGCGGTGTCAGCAGGGGTAGTGCTCCCCATTTCACAGATGAGGATTCTGAGGTTAGCCCACCGTTATGCAGGTGGCCAGCACTGAATGTGGTTCCATTCAGGACTCCAGTGCGGTGTTCGTCCCCTGTCCCTGTAGAGAGCCTCACGTTGTGCTCATTCTAGTCTTGTAGTTCCCCAAGGTCCCTGGGAGCACCCGGCACTAGATGGGCTCTCTACATGGAACTGAGAGGCCCAGTTTCTTGATCCGTAGCCCTAGTACATACACTTCGGTGCTCTGGTATTAGCCCAGATATGGCCCTGAGGGTTTTTTTTTTTTTTTTTTAAGATTTATTTATACATACAGAACTGGGGTGCAGGCCAGAGGTATGGGAGGTATAGGATTCACCAGAGGCAGAGTGGGGAGCAGAACAGGCTGACTGACGAAGTACACTGCTGAGGGGAGCAGCAGGTGGGTCAGGAGAGGGCTGCTGTGCCATGTGGGTCACCCCCCTGGCTGGGATTGAACTTTTGCTGCAGAGGCTGTCATAACTTTGTAGTGCTGTGCTTTGACCTGTTGTGACGCCAGGGAGGGCTCTGAGGATTTTTTTTTTTTAAGATTTATTTATTAATGCATGTAAGAACTGGGCTACAGGCCAGAGGTGGGGAGGTGGGGAATGAGAAGATTCACAGAGACAGAGTGAGGAGCAGAACAGGCAGATGTACTGGAAGACACTGCTGCGGGGAGCAGCGGGCAGACCAGGAGAGGTCTGCTGCGCCGTGTGGGTCAGCTCCCTGGCTGGGGATTGAACTCATGCTGAAGTGGCTGCTGCTAGCTTCACACTGCTGTGCTTCAACCTGCTGTACCACCAGGGAAGCCCTGGTCCTGAGGGTTTTAAAGCAGCTGTACATCTGGCAGGGCAGGTCTGCACCCTTGGCTTGGTGTTTTGAGACCAAAAGACCCACTTACTGGGTCTTTCTCACCATTCCTAAGTGGGCTTTTAAGTGACATTTGTAAAGACGAGTGTTTGCAGTGTCCTTTACTGCTGGTATCAGAGCGCCTCCATTGTGTTCACAAACCTAAAGCCATTGTGTCTTGGTGATGCCAGCTGTGTATCACGACGAGCGCCCCTGGCTGCAGTGAGCTGAGCCTGTTGTGCATTGTGGCGGGGGGCCGAGGGCTCCCGTGACCTGCCATGAGTTTCCAGGCGGCGGGCCAAGGTGATCCTTCAGAAGCCTGAGGGGGGTGGGGGGGTGGGCTGGGCCCTGGTGTGACTGCCCCAGAGTGTCACCTCCTGTTGGGCCCTTGGATTTCTCTGGGTCTCTTGTCCAGCTTGGAGCCCATTGGGCAATATACCAGTTTTGCTGAGGGCTTCTCCTTGCGGAGCTGTGTAGGGAGTGGATTATGGGTACCCCCATTTCTCCTCAGGCTTCCTGTCGCTCACAAGCTGGGCAGTAGCTGTAGCAGCTACCTTGCTACCTCCCTGGCCTGGCATGCAGTAGGGCAGCGACACTGGTTTCTCTGACTTTGGTTGGAGCCCCTTCTTAGGGGTAGAGCGGGTGTAAGCTTTAATGGCCAGGACACAGCTGTGCCCAAATAGCTTTCTGTCCCTGGTGACGAGTGCTGTTTGCCATGGAGCTCAGAGAGGGCCTGCAGCTGTGAGTGTGATGGGAAGTGGGTCGCTTGTAGACAGTCGCTTCATGACACAGGGTTCCCCTCTTAGGGGCAGCTGACCCTCTGTGGTGGACTGGCAGGGGTGATTCTTATAAGGAGGCCTCCCTGGAAGGGCCCACCCTCACCCCTCTCCAGAGCCAGAGAAACTGAGGCTGGCAGAGCTGGTGGATGAGACTGGAATGAATGAGAAAAGGCAGGGGGATTCTGGTGTCTGGCACTTTCCCCAAAGCCTGGCATGCCACACTGAGCCCGCTTCTGAAGTTGAGCCTCAGCCAGGAGGCCTTTAATATTCCTGCCATTTATAGAGCAATTGGGCTTTTGGTGCCCTCCTCTGGGGGAGAGTCCCCCCGCTGGGTGGACTTGATCGGGGGAGGCCCTGTGTGCTGGTCACACCCTGACAGTGGTTTTGGGGAAGCCAGGGGAGCTCATGAGCTACCCTCCTGCTCCTGGCTGTTCCTCTGCTAGCCTCATCTCAGGTGGGGGGGGGGGTGCTCACTGCAGTGTAGACTCCAAGGGCTGCAGGGAGAGAACAGTGAGCCCTTCTCCAGGCTCCGTGAGCAGGTGTGCCCACAGCGGCATTGGAAGAGGCACAGGGCTTCCTGCTGGGGCTGAGGGGTTGGTGGGGAAGGGCAACTTGGTGGGCGGGGGTCTTCTCCATCTTGTAATTTTGGCAATATCTCCTTCCCTTCTTGTCTTCTCACTCCCCCATTCCTGTCACTACTCTGCGGACAGTGTGACCTGTGTCACTGGTGGGCACAGTGACCCCTCAGAAACATGGGGCACTTGCTGTCACAACCTGAAATGCCTGCAGGGTTGAGCAGAGCTAGACTTGGGTCTCCTGCCTCCCTGCACGTGACATTCTCTTTTTAGGGGGGAGGGAAAGATTCATTTTTGATCAGTCACTGGGCTGTGTAATCATAATAACTACATGCTGATGGCTAAAAAGCACGTCCTGAAAGTCTTCAGGACATCACTTGGAGTTCAGTTATAAGTCTCACATTACATAAAGTCCCAGCTGGCTCTCCTCAGCATGCTTGGGAGCAGGTACTCTCACTCCCCTGGCACTCTGGCGTGTCAGCTGGGGCTCCAGCACCCCTGTGGGCTCTTTCATGGTGGGTATTCAGTGGCCCAGTGATGGGCCTGCATTCTCACACAGCCTGGACGAGGTTGGTGTTAGGATTCGCCTTTACTCAGTGGCTTTCTGACTCGGGTGGTCCTGGTTTCAGCCCTACTGGTTCCCTCACCAGCACTGCTCTAGGGAGCTGTGGTGTAGGTGATCCACCCATCGCTGCCCGTGTGGCCTGCTGGATCCAGCTCACCCACTCACCAACCACTTGCTGAGTTCTGCTAAGTTCTGGCTTTGAACTGGGAGCCAGGAGCCCACAGTGTCCCTGCCTGATGGAACATGAGGTCTCAGAGGGACCCAGCCATGAATCAAGGAGCCACACACAAATGTGAAGCCCCTGAAATGTGAAGTCCCAGCTGTGAGGAGTGTGAGGATCAGAAGCTCATGGACAAATGAAGGGACCTGCCCTGATGGGGAGCATAGGGGGCTTCCTGTAGGAGGTGACTCTGAGCAGTGAGCTTCAGGGTCAAGACAAGAGAGGACAAGGGCTCATGGGAACAAGGCGTGGAAAGGACACACAGCTGTGGAGCCAACAGCCCTAGCCAGGGCAGGGGCCACCAGGAAGGATGGGGTTCGGGCCGGGCGTTGGGTAAAGAGTCACGAATGGGGGTGAGGTGCTGAGTTGTAGGTAAAAGGACAGGTCCTGGAGTTGCATGCGACTCAGGGGTTACTCCATGCATAGGCTTCCTGGACTTATCCTGGTAGCTTCCCCACTGTACCCCTAACTCAGGAGTGCTGGGTGCAGGAGGAGAAACTGGCTTGCTGTGTCAGGTCTTGTTCAAGGTCACAGGAGGGCCCGCCTGGCTCCTGACAGTGTCATAGCCATCAGTTCTCTCCCTTCCCCCGTATCCTTTTGTAGGGGCCAGTGCATCTCGTTGGCATTTTGAGGCTTTTATTCTCTATTTAGTTCTCTAAAGGAGTATGGAAGACAGAAAAAAGCTTTGTGTTGGATGCCTCTGTTCTGCTCCAGCTCCACTACTTGGTGTGGTAGAAGTAGAAGAATCACTTGAGCGTTCTGGCCTTACATCTGCTCCCCTCTGTCCCCTGTCCCCTTCCGCCTGTCGTTTGACTCTGGATGAGTGTCCTTTGGTCATGCTGCTTTCCCGGGAAATCTTTTGAGGCTCCTCTGTGCAGTGGCCACCCCAGCCCAGTCCTGTAGCAAGCTCAGTTGGCCCTGATGGCCAGATTCAGGTTCAGCTGGGCGCCCAGGGCCATCCAGTCAGCCCCTGCCTAATGTCCTTTGCCAGTGCACAGTGCAGCGGTGAATGCCCTCTCTTTCCACCCGTCGGGAAACTACCTGGTCACAGCCTCCAGCGACTCGACCCTGAAGATTCTGGACCTCATGGAAGGCCGACTACTCTACACGCTCCATGGACACCAGGTGAGGTGCTGGCCGGTGCTGGGGTGGAGGTGTGCAGGACTGGGGTTCACCTGAGGTTTCTCTGGGAGTCCATTGAAGATGTTTCCAGTGACTGGTCACAGCCTGGGCAGTGGGGTGAGAGGCAGAAAAGGGTTTGCTACCTGCAAGACCTGTGACCTGGCAGAAGCAGTGGGCCTGGTACTGCAGCTGAGAAGGGAATTCGGAGTTAAATTAGGTGGGGAGGGAGGGGCTGATGGCAAACCATGGCTGTATTTCCAGGGTAGAAAGTGTCCCCTAGTGACAGCAGGCATCTCTTGGCCTAGCGGCTGAATCTCTGTTTGGGGTGGGGTCTGAACATCACTGCCTTTGGAGACAAAGGCAGCTGCGGTATCTCACAGAGGCTAGTGTGAAGGAGGAACAGCTCACGTTTGTTGGAGGTTCTGGGACATGAGTCGAGGACACGGAAGCCTTCTCTCTGAGAAGCTTTCACTAGCACATCTGATGCCCTGAATGAGCTGGTGGGCAGTGGCCAGGCCCCAGCCCCTCTGGACAGGACTCCCCAGTAACTGGCTTCTTACATCCCCACCAGGGAATAATTGATTGTCTCCTGCTGAGCAGAACATTCACCAGAGGTCCCCTGTTGGGGAACAGTGGTCATACGCAGGAGGCAGTGGGTACAGAGACCAGAGTTTTTCAGTCATCTTTCCTGCTTCTCTGAGCGAAGAAACAAGCTATTAAAGGCTGAAGGAGGCCCTGGGGTGCTCATATATTGTGGGCTGGTGGCCAGTTTGTGGGGTGTCTAGCCCAGGGCTCTCTGGGACCCACTGCCTTTGGAGTTGAGGCACATCTAGGTTGGGGGCAGTGAGAACATGGGCCTTATTCTTCTGCTTCCTTGAGGGCTTCTTGCTGCCCTCAGTCTGTGGTGACCCTGGCTTTCCCTGTCAGGCACGTGTCTGGTGTGATGACTGGAGGGCAGACGCAGGCGCATGTGCTCTCGCCTGGGGTGACTGCTGGTCCTGTTTTCCGCTTATTGGGAGCCACACTTTCAGCCTCTGGCATTTGAGCGCTGTTGCCTGCCATGCTGCACACCAACAGAGCAGTGCAGTGAAGTGTGCCAAGTGCTCACTGGGACTTGACTTACTTTTTCTTCTTTTTTTTTTAAAGATTTATTCATACAGAACTGGGGGACAGGCCAGAGGTGTAGGGGCAGTGAGAGGATTCACCAGAGACAGAGTGGGGGGCAGAACAGGCAGATCACAAAGTACACTGCTGAGGGGAGCAGTGGGCGGGTCAGGAGAGGTCTGAAGCGCCATGTGGGTCACCTTCAGGACGGGATTGCTCTTGCACTGACGCGGCTGTGGCTCGCTTGCAGTGCTGCGCTTTAACCTGTTGCACCACCAGGGAGGTGGTGATTTTTCTTTCTTTATGGGAGTTCTTTAATCAGCTGTCTCCCCTCTTAACTGAGAACACTGAACTGAGGGAACTAAAATGCAGGTGCCAGGATTCGGGTGCAGTCTGGAGCACACCAGGGAAGCCTGTCCCGCTGCTCTTTTGGAGAAGTGAAACAGACTTGAGTGAAACTGCAGTGTGGCTTGTTCTGGGGCACCTGGAAATGTGGGGAGTAGGCTGAGGGATGACTGGCAGTTTGGGAGTGTGAAGAACAGGAAATGGCTCATTTCCTCCTCAGGGTGCCAAACTCAGTGCCCTGAGGAAGCGGGAGGAAGAAGTGAGCTCACTCTCATCTTTCCATTTTGCCACATGCCTGTCCATCCCTTGTGGACAGCTCCCGTTCCCAGGCTGAGGACCAGGGGTTCAAGATGAATGTGGTCGTTCCCCTTGGGGCTTTCCCCGTGAGGTAGTAGAGCCGAGGGTGACATGCGATGAATAAAGAGGCTGGGAGAGACAGGCTGAGTCTTAGCTGGCACTCGGAGGGTTGGGGTCAGCCCTGCCTCTCCTTCACAGTGTACTGCAAGTGAAGGTGGGAGTTGGAGCATGGGGCTCAGATTTCTCTTACCAGTCCCTTCAGTTTCCCGTCAAATACAGAACCAGTGCAGGCTTCGGTTCCCCTTTGCCTCCAGCCACATCTGCCCATCCTGGGCAGAGGGGCCAGCTCTGAGGCGCAGCTATGGTTATGGGGCACCGCCATCTGTCCTCTGCTTCACTCCTGGGGACACCGCGCTGTTTCCCGCTCAGTGGCTTGCCCCAGTTGTCTTCACCAGCATCTCTGACTGAGGCTGAGTCCGATCACATTGGGTCAGGAAGGGTTCACACAGCCTTGTCTCACTGGTGGCGGTGCCCAGGCTTGCTCAGGAAACACCCTGATGTTTCCGGAAACAAACTGCTTCTACTTACCCCATTCTGGTTTGGAAACCACGGGTTTCTTTTGTTTCACCGCACAGCCTGAGCTTTAGGAGCTTAGAGCAAGAGGAAAGACTTTCTGCCTCCAGGCAAGATCCTTCTGGCTTTGCCTCTTAGCCTCTGACATTCGGCAGACCTTGGCTTTGCCAGGTCTTTCCTTCTCCGTAAACAGGACTCCATGCTGGCCCCTTTTAAGGAGAGGACAGCCTACCTTGTCCAGACCCAGCCTTAGCAGGTCTTCGCCCTGTGAGTCCCTTTCCACTTCAGCTCTCAAAATGACCCCATGCTGTTCTAGGTGAGAGTGCCTAAAAGGCCATTAAAGTTTCTCTTCTGAGTGTGGTCCTGGCACCATGGGTGGGCATCAGTGTTTATTAGGAGCATGATGACTTCACCCCTCTGCCTGCTTTGGACGGCCACAGGCCGTAGCCTCTGGGTGGTAGATCACCCATTTCCCCTATTCCCACTCACACATGGAGTCTTTCAAGTGTTTATCTGGTGTTTTCTTCTCTTTCAGGTTGCTCCCATCTCCTTAATACAGCCTCTTGCTCTGGCTTCCCTGTTGTCATATGGTGGGTGGGCTTCGGCGACTCCCCTGATCCAGCACGCTCGTCCCTGCCAGCTGCTGTGTGTGACCTGCTGGCTCCTTGGTGTACAGTTGTGTGGGCACTGCCCTTTATTGGTCATCTTTTCTAGGGCCTGCCTCCTGGAGGACAGACTGGGTGTCTGATGGCACCAGCCTGGCTGGATGTGTGATGCCCTTTCTGAGGCTCTGGAAAGTCCTGTTCTGGTGAGCTGCCACCGCTCTGACGGTTGAGCAGGAGCAAAGGGAGTTTCTGCATCTTGCTGGATTCAGAACAGACTTAGGGGCATGAAGGCGCTTCCTCATCCCATCTCACTCCTCCCTGGCAGTGGGGAAGAGGGCCAGGAGGGGGAGGCTTTCCCAATGGCAGCTGTCACTAAAGCCTTGTGCCCCGAGCCAGACCCACAGAGCTCTGGGTGGCAAGTGTGGAGGCAATGTGCTAGAAATACAGATTTTTTTTTTCTGAAACATAATCTGGAGTCATGCTCATTTTGTTTAAGTCCCCAGAGCTATTTGGGAGAGAGTGGTGGGTGGGATGTGGGTGGGGAGTTAAATCTGGTGTTTGTGGCTGTGCAGTTGGTATTCGTGTCACTGTGGAGGGACTGAACTGCACAAGGACTGACGAGCTTGTGTTCCTCACGACCCAGCTGCCCACACCCCAGTGGTGCAGAGTGGGTGAACAGCTACCCAGTGGACCCAGAACCCTGGGCAAGGTCTGCTGTCTGCACTGGGACCTAAACCCTATGGCTTGGTTGGTAGGAAATCACAGGCCTGGCGTGTGGGATCCACCCACGTTACTGGAACTTGCGCCTGGCGAGGCCCTGGGCTGGGTCTGGCCATGAGGCAGCCGTGTGGCTGGGAAGCCTGCTCCAGGTGGAAGCCGCTCCTGGGAGGGCGGCTCTTCTTCCTTGTGTCTTGGGCGCTCTGCAGCTCTTGTATAGCACTTCATTTTGGAGAATTCCATGCTGGGGAGGCGCATACATACCTGGTGTGAATGGTTGGGTGCCTCTTGGACATGAAGAGGGCTGTGTTCCTGGTGCTCTGGGCTGCTTGTGTATCCCCCGATAGATGGGCAGGAGCCTTTGTAGGAAGCTGGTCTTTCCTGGGGACATGGAGCTACCTGGGGCGGGAGCCACGCAGTTCTTCCTGGTGACAGGGCTCTGCTGGGGAGGACTGTGGCCTTGCCCCCAGATCCTCCTTTGAGCGTGCTTGTCTCTTGCCCCACTCATTCCTGGAGTGTCCAGGGACCTGGACTCTAGGAAAAACTCCCATGATTCTGCCTGAGGGCTCCCACACCTGCTCGCTCCCAGGCCCTGATCAGCTGCTGGCCCTGCCCTGCAGTTCTGCTGCTCAGCCTCCATCTTGTCTCCCACTTGGCATCTGGTGGTTGAGTGATGACAGGGCGGTGTCTGACCCGTGAATAGTTGTTTGGTTCCTCAGTTGCTGTGACTTGGAAACGCGCCATTACTCAGCGAGCTCTGGGCAGCAGCTTCCGCCTTGCTTGATATTCCATGTACTGGTTTCCTTCCTTTTTCTCTGTTCCTCTTTGTCTTCCCTCAAAATGAAAATAGTTTTGTTGTTTTGTTTGGATAGTAATGTAGCAACTCTAACTACCTGCTAAAATTTTTGAAGTACAGATTGCAAAGTTTTCCAAAAATCAAGTAAAAGTCACTCCACATTGGTCTGCTTTTTTCTTGTACTTACTACTTTAGCCCCCCATGGCGGGCACCTTGGAGAAGAGGAACTGTGAGTGGGCACGGTCCCTTCTGGTCAGTGTGCCTGGGCCCAAGTGCGAGCTCACCAAACCACCTGTGGGCAGGCAGAAGCTCACCTCGCTCTGATCCCTGGCCTACCTCCCAGCATTCCGGGATTTCTCTTGTCTGTGGCTCCGCTGCTTCCATCAGCCCCCACTGCTCAAACATCTCCTGGCCTTGCTGCCTCCTGCCCTGGCCAGAGAAATGGCGCTCACCTTCATGACAGCCATGCACAGTGATCACCATATAGAGAGAGCCTCTTTTACCTGGCATTGCTTGAGGATTGTCAGATCCTGCCTCACTAAAAATTTGACTGGAGAGAAGTGGTTCATGGTCTGGTCGAATGGGTTCTCACTCTGCATCTTTCTGCCATGGATGTTGGGCACGTGGGGAGGAGCCTTCCTTTTCTTCAAGGGCATGCTTCCTTGTCCTCTACCTGGACATGCTCACTGGGCCTCAGCTATCTGGCTCAGATCTGGCACTGTCTGTCAGGCCCTTCACCGGGCAGTCAGAGCAGGCATGTCTCATCCTGAGGAAAGTGACACACTTGTTGGAGGGCGTGTCCGTGGCCCCCTTCCAGAAGCAGCCCCCTTCCCTTCTCCTTCCCGGCCTCAGTCTTGCCTCTTTTGTTATCTGAGGCTCCCTGCTGTCCCTGCCTCTATTCACTGGCTCCTGCTTCAGCTCTGCAGGGTGGTGTGTGGTGTGGGGAGGAGCAAGGCCTGTGTCAGGGAGCTCTTTCGTAGTACTGGGCGGTAGTACTGGGCGTGGGATAAGTGAGTGCACCTCTGACTTCTTGGGACATGAGGCAGCGATGGCCACCCTGCAGGGCTGTCACTCCTTTCTGGCCACCTCCACACCCTGGCCTTTGTCCTGTCAGGGGTGCTGAGGTCTTAGCTGTGGCTTCACACTTGGCTTCACCCATACAGCCAAAAGCTGGACAGATGTAGACCCTCAGCCCTGGTCCTGCTGCTGCTTCGCTCAGGAAACTTCTGGTGTCCATGCATGTACAATCTAGAGTGACCTTTGTATGTGTTTTCTTTGTTGTCATAGGGCCCAGCCACCACCGTTGCCTTTTCAAGAACAGGGGAGTATTTTGCTTCTGGAGGTGCTGACGAACAGGTAAGTAAAGAAGGCACCTTGGCCTCTTGGCTGATCCAGATCAGAACAGAACAGGTGGCCAAGACATCTTGGGAGGCAGGTTTCACCAGCACCTGGTGACTCAGCAACCACAGAGGTTGAACTTGGGGGCAGTGTTCAGACTGGGGGCCATTGCCTTCCCTGAGTGGATCTCCTGCAGGTGCTGGCCATGGGGCCGCATCGTAAAGCTACCTGCACAGACCAATATGGATTGGAAGGAAAAATAAAAGCAAAGTTTTTCAGTGAGTTTCTTTTCCTGCTTATAAGTGAATAATTTGTTAAGAATTATTGGAGACTCAGTACAACCAGGTAAAGTGGGCAGTGAGTAAGAGCTTCTTGCCCCTTCAGTCTCTCTGGGGCAGCTGCACTCATCCCAGCCCACAGATGTGGGCACTTGAGTCTCAGCAGATGGCAGAGCTGGAGGCTGCCCTGGAGCTCCCTGGCCTGCTCGTGTGTTGTTGAGGGCTCAGCATTTTCACACGCCTTTGCCTTCAGAGAGAGGACACGTGGGAGGTGGTCCTATCTCACCTTGTCCTTTGTGTCGCATCTTTCAACTTGTCAGTCTGGTATGCCTTCAGCCCAGACTGCTGGACACTGCCTTGTCTCCTGTGTGCACTCCCTGGCCTGGCCAAGCGCCTGGCTCCTGTCAGTTCTCAGGGGCCTTGAAGGAATGTGTCTACCCATCGGAAATCTCAAGCCAGGTTCCTGTAGTTTGTCCATAAAGCTGACTCCCCTGAAATAGAGCAGGTGCCCAAAATGTTCATTATGGTGGGCATCACGGCTCTGATTCTCAGCCCAGGGAAGTCCTGCTGGCCTCTGGTGAGCCCAGTGCCAACCAAACACAAAGTTTGGTTGAGTTGCTGCCCATAGAGGGTGTTTGCAGGCTTTGAGTGCAGCTGAATAGAGACAGTGGATGACTGCCTACACCAGCACACTAGATCCTGCTAGAATTAGACAGGGAAGAGGAAAGCCGGGGGCCCCTGAAACTCCCCTGCTCATGGGGGGCTGGTTCGTTACCTACGAGATTGGGAAAACGAATATAGCAGGTTCATACCATAGACATGGTGAAAAAAACCATCTAGGGGGCAGCCTGGTAGAAAGTGGGGCCTCTACCCACTTGGACCCCTTCTCAGGTAGCGTCTGCTCTTGGCCCGTGGCTGCCTGAAAGTCTGCTCTGAGAGAAACCATTTGGTGTGACATTGGCCATCTCTTCATACTCATGAGAGTCATTCCACTCCAAGGCATTTATTCAGCAGTTAGGCTTAAACACAAGCCCCCTCTAAGAAAGAGTGTGTGTGCCAGCTCTCTGGTACCTGGGAAGAAGAGATCTGGGTACTTGTCAGTTAGAGAGCAGAAACTGGTATTGCATGGCATGGAGCCTCCTAAAGATGCAGGCTTGTGACTGATTCTCAGTGAGGAAAGCATCCAGGGGTACACTGAGTGTTCACCTTATGTGGATGCAGGGGGTTTTTCTGTGACCTTAGTTGACCAATCGCCATCACCCACATTTCCCAACATCCCTGGAACCACCCTAGCACAACAGCCGCAGATGGCCCGCACTTTCCAGCAGAGGGCGCTCTTGCTCCCTGTAGGGCCCTTCCCTCAGCTTTTGGAGCATTTCAGGACTTGAAGAACCTCCAAGTGGGATGTGGGATGACGGGTGTGTTACCAAGTGCTCCCGATGGCAGTGTTTGTGCTGAGCTGTCTCCTGTGAGCATCACTGCAGGCTGTGGGGGTTGGAATTAGAATCAGCCCCTTTTCAGTATTGAGAAGCTGAAGCACAGAGAGGTTGACTCCCTTACCTAGAGCCACACAGTTGGGGGAGTCAGGATATTAACCCCAGTGGTCTACCTTACAGTCTATATATTAAAAAAAAAAGATTTTGGAATGGGTAATGGGATTAAAAGTGGTGGGGGGGGGAGGGAAATGCACTGGACTGTGGTGATTGTACATGGGTGATTTGGTGATGGGAAGCCCACAGGGATTACAACTGAGGTGGAAAAAGGCACAAAATGATGTAGAAATAAACTATTACATTATTAAAAAAAAATCTATGCATACAGAACTGGGGTACAGGTCAGAGGTGCAAGGGTGGTCAGAGGATTCACCAGAGACAGTAGGGGGCAGAACAGACAGATCTACTGAAATATACTGCTGAGGGGAGCAATGGGTGCGACAGGGGAGGTGTGCTGCGCCATGTGGGTCAACCCCAGGCTGGGGATCGAACTTGTGTTGAAGCAGCTGTGGCTAACTTCATAGTCCCGTGTTTTAACCCTTTGTGCCGCCAGGGAGGGCCCAGGATCTGTATGTTAACAACTACTCACAGTGTAACAGGCCAGGCCACCCCCTCAGAATTTTTTCTTCCAATGAGAAACAAATTATAAACAAGAAGAGGGACAGATAGATTAAATACCTGCTGAGTTTGTTGTGAAGGAAATCAAGGATTGTGATGAAAATTAGCAGGAGGGCTAGCAAAGACCCCTCTGGGAAGTTGATGTTGAAGTGGATACCTCAGGTCTGAGAAGCCACCAGCTACATACATCTTGGGCCTGAAACTCCCCAGGCACAGGGACCAGCACTTGCAAAGGCACACAGTCACTTTCCACCCCGGAAGTTCATTCAGGTCCTCTCCATGTCTGTCCAAACAGCCTGCGCGCTGAGGTGAGTCCGGCCCAGAGTTGAGGTGGCAGGTGGGGGCCACTTTCAGAGCTTTGAGGCTGGCCTCTGGCATCATTTTCCCCATAAAGAACACTAACAAGGGTTATCTCACCCTGATCCTTTGTGCTTGTTGGTCTTGGCAGGTGATGGTGTGGAAGAGTAACTTTGATGTCAACTATGGAGAAGTAAAGGTACAGCGGCCCCGAGCCGCGCTGGTCAGCTCCTCTGGCAATCTGGTAAGTGGCTTGGTAGGCATGTCCCGAGCCAGAGACTCTGTTGGGAAGTGGACTTAGAAGCAGTGGGGACTGGAAGTTTAAACCCATTTTGGGGGTGGACCCTAGTAAGATGTTGTAACTTAACGTAATCCTTTGGCACCTGGATTTGAATCTAGAATGAATAGGCTAGCTATGAGGAAGCTGTTAGGGTGGACTGCTAAGTGCCCAGTGCTGTTCCCTTTGGTGGGGAGTGTTTCCATGGCCCAGGCCTAGAAAAAAGGAGGGCCTGTCCCACGCTGACCCTGGGCACAGGACAGCGATGTGGGGTTCCTAGAGGGTGCAGGGCCTGAAGTCACAGCTGGGACGAGTGGGGTGGCCCTAGCCCTGTTGCTCTCACTTCCTTTTTTTTAAGCCATGGAAAAGGAAGTTTCTCAGCCACAAACCATTTTAGTACTGTTGTTGGTAAAAAGGCATTCAGTGTTAACAATAATTTTTGATAAATATTTGGAAAGAAATAATTGATATAGTCTCATTGATTAAGGGTGCTTTCAACTTTGGCTGAAATAAATTTTACAACCAAGGATGTGAGTTCAGGGTTCTAAGCTGCAGTGGCCACAGTCTGCATAAATCTCGCCCTGGACCTAAGAGGCAGTATGGCCTCTCCCACACTCGGAAACTGGCCTGAACAACAGGAAGCAGCTTGCCCAGGGCCCCCAGCAAATCAAGGCTGGGCCCAGAATAGAACCAGGAAACCTTTGAGTCCATCCTGGGTTTTCTTTGGCTCGAGCACAACCCCTCCGCCCCTTTCACACACATGCGCCCCTGTCCTGTGTGGTGGAACTACTTCTAGGAAAGGACCCAACTGGGATTTAAAGCTTTTCTTTCAAGGGCTGCCCTGGGCGGGGAGGTTTTATTACTCCCTCTGCGTTTGCTAATGTGTGGGTTTGCTGGGGAATGACTGGGTTAGCTGGTGGTCTGCTTCTGCCATTTCATCTTCCATAGACAGCCATATTCCACACTGAGAGTTGGGGCCCAAGTCACCTCTACTGCTCCCCGTCTGTTGAGCTTATACAGTGAGTCAGGTCCAGCCAAAGCCTCACATGTGCGGCCCTGCTTATCCTTCCCTCATCAGGGTGACTAAAGTTGCTACTGTCATTCTCAGGTGAGACACGGGGTTTAGTCACCTGCTCAGATGCCTGGACTTGGGGTCCCACCGAGCTGGCCGCTCTGAGCCTGGCTGACTAAGCTAGAAGCTGCAGGCAGCGAAGGGCCTCATCACAGCTCTGCCCTCCCAGGGGAGGGCACTGCACCATCTCTTGGGAATGGCTGGTATTCACCATCAAGTGATGATCCTGTGCTCCTTTTCTTGGAGTTATTCACAAAATAACTTGGGCAAACTGCCTCTTGTCTCCTTAGTTCTGCTCAGTGACACCCTTCCTGTCCAGAGCTGTGGGTCCTGATAGATGTGGGAAGCCACATGGAGTAGGAAAGCCAGCAGGACAGGGCAGGGCGTGATGGGTGAACAGCTCAGCAAGGCGTAGGAAAACCATTTATTCCCATACTGTGATCGAGCTGTCATCACAGTTTTGCCCACTGGACATCACCAGCTGACCCTAAACAGGAAAAGGTATGGATTTTTGGGGTCCCATCCCTGGGTGTGTGTTCAGGCATTATACCCCCATGGGAGCTGAACATCCCTAAAGGCAGGTCTCAGCACCCCATGTGGTATAGGTGAGCTCATAGTCTTGAAGGGACTCGACTTGTTAATCCTAAGCTCTTCCTTTTTTGGGACTTTTTACTTGTCTTAATCGGATTTGAGACGGCCTTCTCCAGACATGCCCCAGTGGGTAGGCTCTAGGGACTCTGACCTCAGGACTTCAGGGCCAAGAGTAAAGCTAGGGTTTGTTTTGCTTTATATACATTGTGTGACACTGACCATTTCAGCCAGAGTCAAATGCAGGTGTGGTGGCACTAGGTGCCTCACATTGTTGTGCAAACCTCACCTCAGACTGAGGCGAGCCTGTTGTTACTGCACCACTTGTGGTTGGGTTTCCCCTGCGGTAGGGAGGGAAGCTGAGGCGTGTGGTCTCGCTCTTCCTGTGCAAGGGCCTTCCTGGCGCTGGGGTAGCACTGCTGACTGACCCCATGGCTGGCCTGGAGGCTCAGCTCCACAGGCAGCCCGTGTGCTCTACAGCCATGTACACTGCTGAGGGGAGCAGCGGGCGGGTCAGGGGAGATCTGCTGCTCCATGTGGGTCGCCTCTGCGGCAGGGATCGAACTCGCAGCACTGAAGTGGCTGTGGCCGGCTTGCAGGGCTGTGTCCTAACCCGCTGCACCACCAGGGAGGGCCCTGTGGGCCTGGGTTTCTAACAGAGGCTACTTTGTGAGCCTGTCTGGCTTGTCAAATTTTGGAATCTTTCAAGGGAAGATTCATGGGAAACAACTAAGAAAGATATTTAGCAACTTGGTTTTCTTCACTTAAAATTGGAGGGTGTTCTTGCCCTCCCTGCTTGCAGGCTCCCTGGCTCTGAGATGGCGCCTGGTGAGTGGGTGACTGGCTAGGGTGGCTTGGCTCCTCGAAGACCCTGTGAACTCTGCCACCAGGCTCCGGAGCTCCCCTTTCTGATGACCCTCAACCCCTCCACCTTTGGGCCTTAGGCCCTAGAGTCACAGAAGACCCGCTGGATATTTGAGGATATTAAGACACTCCAGGCCAGGTGCTAGGTCTTGAATTCCCCAACTGTGTGCCTGTTAGAATGTGGCAGTTTGAGGGCAGACCACAGCCGGGACAGCCCTGTGAGCCTCCGCCAGCCCTGGTGCCCTGGAAAACCCCCTGCCAGGACCCCTGCTCTGACTGTGGCATTCAACTCGGACTCTTGGAATGAAGGCTATCCTTGAGCCCACTGTGAACAGTGCTCTGTTCACCACCCAAGCTATTTTCAACCTCTGGGTGAAAGTCACAGCTTATTTTTAGGCACATTTCATGTTGAAAAGCACAAGCCATTTCCCAGCCCTTCAGAATGAGAATAATGGGTTCCATTTTCCCTCTATTCTTGGCTGAGTTGTGCTTGGGGAGGGTTTTAGGGCTGTGCTGGGGAGCTTTCTCTGCTGGAAGGCTGCAGGGGAAGGGTTCCAGCCCATGCGCTGGGCGGAGGGTGGGCAGGAAACTCCGTGTTCTGCCTCGTGACATGCTGCCAGGCTGGAAGAAGGTTGGAAGGGCCTCAGGCGTGCAGATGAGTGCCTTGCACAGGGGCTGGCGTGGGGGCAAGAGGGAGGCGCCCTACAAGCTGTCTGCAGCTTGTGCTGGGGTTTCTGGCGTCTAGTGCTTAACTCTTTTCCCTGGTCGTCCCCTGTGATCATTTACCTGGAGTCTCGCACCCTCCTGCTCTCTGTGCTTCCAGGCTTGTCTATGAGGTAGAGGGATCTCTGTCTTGGCTGACCTGGATTGGCACCTGACCTCCATGTCCCAGTTGCCATAGGTCTGATTTCTCCCTCAGTCAAGGAACATTTAAACCACTTTAAATAGCAAAGATGCATTTATTCTAATGTACTCTATTCATGCATATGAGGCCCGTTATGCAACTGGGAAGGAATATGGTGGGGGCAGGGGAGCGGGCGGGAAGGGAGAATGCAGAATTCCAGGTAACTCAGAGAAACTGATGAGCTACTTCCTGAGTCCTCAGGGCTGGCTGCCATCTCAGACAGCAACCTTGAGTCCTAGGGCTGAGGGCGCCTCCATGCACCTTGAATAGATGCTAGGCCCTCCTTCGTGAGTTTTCACGAGGTGGGACATGCCAAGCAAGGACTTGGAGCCATGCCCAGCACATGGCAAGTGCTCACCAAGCTTTAGCTATTTTAAAAATGCTCCTCTTCCTTCCTCTGTCCAACTGAGAAGTACATGAGTCCTCTGCCCACTCAGGGTGATTATGTGTTCAAAACCCACCAGGGTGAGTGGGGGTCATTCTGACTGGGGCGGCTCTCCATGCTGATTCTCCGCAGGTCATCCTCAAATGAGGGATTTCGACTCTTGTGGGCATCTGTTGTGCTTTTATGAGACTCAAGTCCTCTGTGTTCCCAGACCAGAAAGCAAATCCATGATGTGGGTAGAATGGGCCTGTCTTCCTTCCCCAACCCTAAGACTCCTCAGGGCAGGGTACCCAGGATCCCCAGAGCCTCAGTGCCAGAGCTGTCTGCAGGAAGAGGAGGTTATTTGGCTAAAACCTCAGCCTTCTCCGAGTATGGGCTGTTCCTCCTCCCCTCTTCTCCTATTCTGAGGGTGGAATCCCAGCTGCCCCCCAACCCCCCCCACATAAGCTGCCACATGTCTTGTGTGACAGTGCACAAGGTGTGCTTGACTTACAGGGTTCTTGGGCCCCGATTCCTGGCCAGGGGATCTTGGCACTGGCTCTTACCCAGGCACCTCGCTTCAGGAGTCATAGGCTCAAGGTAGGGCCAGGGTCCCTTTTCCACTTGTCTCATAGATTTGCTTTCTTGCTGAGGAGCATGGAGGACTTGGGTCTCTCACTGAGAACACAAATTTCTAGGTAATATTTACTTTCAGTTTTGGGGAGAAGTATAGATTTGAGGGGACACTTGGCTGGCAGGGCATTGTGGGTGTTTGGAACAGGAGTGAAGCTCATAGCTCACATCTTGGAGAGGAGCCTCTCTTTTCTCCACTTGACTCTAATTCTGGCTCCTACTTTTCCAAGGCACTCACGAGGTTCTTGGCAGCAGAAGGCCTCAATACCTGATTGGAGTCATCAGTTCCCTGGGTATTTATGCATCTTAGAAAAGCATAGTTTTGGGGGCCCCAGCTCATTGACTCCCCTGCCCTTAGGCTCGCGGCATCCGTGGTGGGTAAGATATGCCTCCTAAAGGGCTCAGGCACACTCTCTGCTCATACCCTCTGGCTGAAGGGTCACAGTCTCCATCTTTGTGATCCGGAGGCTAGTGTCTGAACTGGCTCTGTGAACAGACTTAGGGACAATGGGCGCTTTGTCTCCTGGGAGCTCCCAGTAGCA